TAAAACATCCCACTGAGCTGATATTTCTGCTTTCCAACAACAGAGCCTCTGCTTTGATATGACATAGGCCCCACCTCCCCACTGTGTGATTCTGGAACATGTAATTATTGTATGATTATTTTCTTCTACAGAAATGCGAAATATCATGTTTAGTTCACATTTTACAACTGAATGACAACGGGCCTCGCTATTCGGTAAAATGTGTCATTTGGGGACCATCTTTTTGGGTGCGCCAACGTTGAAATTTTGACATGAAATATTTTTTAAAAAAATCGAATACTGAAAAATACAACAAGATGTTATGATTGATACGATAAGTCAGAAAAGAAAAAAAAATAATCAAGACCGCGCATAAAAAAAAAAAAAAAATTGTAAAAGTTCCAGGGACTGAGCCCTGATGTGAGGAAAAAAGAAAAAGAAAAAAAAAGAATTACAATGGCCGAAAGATGCCACAACATGGTGGCAAAGTTCTATTTTTGTCGAAATAAAGCTCCTTCACTCACTTCAATATCGTTCATTGGCACCAAGATTGCCACAAATAACACCAAAAGCAATACTTTGATTTCTTTGGCCTGAGCACAAAAAGAGTGAATAGTGGAGTCTTTCAGCTCCTAATGTAGCGCAGGATCCACAATTTAAGCCAGGAAAAAAACAAAAAACGTTTGAATTGAATAATTTCACATTAAAAAAATACGACACTTGGTGCCATTGACGACAATTTCATTAGATGTGTTCCATAAATAAATACAAGCTCATCCTCATCAACACCCACGCTGATTCGTTAACACTTCTGAAGAGCGCTGCATAATCTCGCACACGCACGCGCGCACACACACGCGCACACACACACGCACACACACACACCCTAGACATTTGAGCAACTGTCCAGTGAAACAATGTTGTGGATCTCAACATGACCTCCTCTCTGGCAGGTTTATTACGTTTTCCATTTCTAGCTGGATACAGCGAGCGTATTCTACATTATTGATACTTAATCCCTCTTGTTAAATTCCTTGTCCTCGCCACATCACAGCAGAGTTGCAGCAAGTTTCTTTTTTGTTGTTGTTGTTTTGTTAAGCCTCAGCTGGTTTATATTTCATTGTTTGATGCTACAGTACATGAAATTTGGACCCGCACTTACCCGGGGTGGAGAGGGGAGGATTCAAAAAAAAATTTTAATGCATGTTATGACTGGTTTTAGCACAGTTACAGAATAATAAAAAATAATAAAAAAAAAAAAAAAATCCCGCTAGGTGTCTATTTTTTGCCACGATTACAATTTCTGCATTTGCAATGTGTGGACACAAGTAAAAAAAGTAGGTTACCTTGGATACACACATGCAACAACAAACAAACCCTGTAATGCTAAGTTTGCGGCGTCCATTTTGCTGACACAGTTCGGCGGCAAAAAAGATGGCTCCGTGGATGTGGAGTGCCGTTGTGAGAGATTGGGTTACCCCCCCCCCCCAGACACTCCCAGCGGATCTGCCGGCCAAATGGATGTGGATCTCACGCTCGGGCGCCCATATTGAATGCCATAAGAGGTCTCCGAGGTCTCCTTCAGTAGGAGGAATGTGCCGCCTAACAATGTGGAGTTTGCACCCAGCTACATTTTGACACCAAAGCAGAGCGACAGCATCGTGCATTTGCACGAGTATTGGCTTACTTACTCAACTGCAGATGGGGTTGGCTATTTATCAATGAGATGTCTCCCTGGGGAGGAGGAGGCCAGATTACAATTTATGGCAAGTTAAAGTGCAGTTTGAAAACAAAATGAAAAGGACTGTTATGTAGAACCATGAAAATAAAGAGAGATGCAATCATGCACGCAATCTATTTGAAGACTCAACTCAACTGTATTTATAGAGCACTTTAAAACAACAAAGTGCTGTACATGGAGCAAATATCATATATACAATAATAAACAATAAATTAACAACATTCAAGACATCTGTCTCCACATAAGATAACTTTAAATGGTGCACGAGGAACTTGTTTGCAACACACACAAACTTTTGATTAATCCGAGACAGCATATATGCTTCAGTGCTGCTGTTTTGGTTAGCAGTGGACAATTTAGATGAGATCGTCAATACTGAAGGGAATGAAAAAAATTATTATTTAGGCACAGCGTGTATAAGCAAGATTTGTTTGAGAGGGTGCATTTTCACCACAATTTCAATTAATCTGAGGCTTTTTTTTTTGTGTGTGTGTCGGGGCCTCTGTTTTGGTAAGTCCAGTCAAACCTCGGTTTTCGAACGTCTCGGTTCTCGACCAATTCGGTTTTCGACCAAAAATTGAGTTTTTTATGCCTTGGACGCTGAACAAATTTCGGTTCTCGAACAAACTGAGTGCACTTGAATGCACCACTTGACTCCTCTCGCCTTCCTTACACGAGGAAATGACGCTTCCTTGTGTAGACGAGGAAGTGACGCTTCCTCGTGTCGCTTTCCATTGTGGGCAGGTGTGTTCAATAAAAGTTTATTTTTTTTTAAAAAGAGCGTGGTTTCGGTTTTCGAACAATTCGTTTTTCGAACAGCCTTCTGGAACGGATTATGGACGAAAACTGAGGTTTGACTGTAATTGAGTTAAAATCTTACAGGATGTTTTGTTTGTGAACAAGAGCATTGTTACATTTTTTGCCTGACAACTCTTTCTCATTTGAAAAAAAGTATCTCTTGAAAGTCTCACAAAACTGGTTAGTGCAGCAAAAACGACAACTTGCGCGCTCGACGCGCTTCCTGGCAAACTTGTTAAAGATTTGTTTCGGATCTTAGGACCATCCATCTTAAATATTATTAATTTATCACTATCCTCTGGCACTTGCTGCTCTTATTTGACCCCTTCTTAAGCGACCAAATATCGACCCGTTTCAAATCTCCCTTTTATTGCGATAATTCTTGAAAAAGTCATTAGAGCAAGAGCTTCGTGACTACATGGCCGCGATTTTCAGTCAGGGTTTAAGGCCCTCCATTCAACCGAAATGGCCCTTGCTAAAGTGATCAATGATGTTTTTATATATAATATTATTATTACTCGATCTTAGCTGTGCCTTTGTCACCGTTGATCGGAACACCATATTAGAATGCCTTAGAACGTGTATTTCAGGTTCAAGTCCTTCCTGGTTTAGTTGTTACATCTCCGAGATGACACACCATGTTATTTATGGTAATACGACTTCTGATGGGGTTTTTTGAGTTTTTCCTTGCCCTCCTGGGAGTTAAGGTCAAGGGATGTTGTTGATATTTCTAAACTGTGGGCATGTGAAGCCCTTTGAGACAGTTTGTGATTAAGGGCTGCATAGATAAATAAGGCTTAACAAGTAAGGCATCACCAGGCGACCAAATGAAGTTTGGTGTTCTTTCTGAGCGATATATTCTCTTCGCACTTTAATTCAGCCGAGACATTTTACTTCACTTAGTGAGCAACTGATTTCAAATGGGCTCTTTTGTAATGTTTGCGTGTGAACATGAGTTAATTCTAGAGATAGGGTTAGTTCCCATTTTGTGGGATTGTATCATCCTGCTCAAGCTTCTGAGGATGTTTTTCCTCCTTTCGATACAAAGTCTATGACTATATACAAAAAAACAAAACTAAACAAAACAAAACAACTCACAAACATCCTGCACATTGCAGCTCCTCTGTAACATCTGCCTCAAAGAGTCCGGTTCCAACAAAAAGCTGGCTCGGCTCTTTGCCGGCATTTGCGCCACAACACCGTCGAGGTTTTAAGTTATCTCTGAACGAGCCATCCGTTCTGCTGCTTTCTGATGGAAGAATACTGGGGGGCTGTGTAATTATATCGCTTTAAACGAGCCCCTGAGAACGCTCCTGCCAAAGCGCCCACAAAGTCTCACACTTTGGCGCGCATCAGAAAGGCAACTCTTGCACTTGTCAGCGCGCGCGTGCATGTGTGTGCATGTGTGTGTGTGTGTGTGTGTGTGTGTGTGTGTGTGTGTGTGTGTATGTGCGCTTAGGCTGGCATTAAGAGAGAGGCCACAGTGGTTCTGAAACGCCTCACAAGTGAATTTAATTAAATCATAAATATGAGCTGGAGGCTGCCACCCAATTTAATGTAATGGATGATATGGGCCAGTCCGTCTTTGGCAAAGCAAAGTTCTGGACCCGATCGAATGCCCTTGAAGCTTATTAAAAGTGTTTGGCACCCGGACATGCTAGCAAAGTTGTTAAATGGATGGCGTGGCTTGCTTTCAGTAAGGTGGTTCATCAACCTGGAATCGACCATCTATGATTTTAATTGAGGGGTGTTCAAGCTCTCAATAGAAGACATTTGGGTTGTGTTGGAAATTACAACTTTCAGGCATAAATAAGACATAAACAAAACATAAATATATGGTGGTTTCAGACAAAGAAGCAACAATGCAATATCAGTACAAAAATCAAAATGGAATTAGAACAGACAAAATGGAAAAAACACAATGACAAAATTAAAAAGAAAACACACTGATCGACTCCATGCCACGTCGCATTGCTGCAGTAATTCAGGCAAAAGGAGCCTCAACTAAGTATTGAGTGCTGTACATGTACATACTTTTCAGGTTTATACTTATCGGTTGGCCAACATTTTTTAAACTTCTTTCTTTGTATAGTCTTAAATAGTCTTCTAATTTCCGGGGATGGCAAATGTAGCTTTTTAAATGAGTTTTCAGATATAATCATCCAAATTAAAATGAACTAACACTTAAAATGTATCAGTCTGTGTGGAATGAATGTATGCATTACACAATTTTTTTTGACGATAACCTGATTTTATATATATTTTTTTTTCCCCCAAATTTTGTTGATAATCTTTCGGCCCTACTTATCCTTTTTGATTTTTTTCATGTTAGATGTCATTTAATTGTACTGGTGTACCTATTGTATGGTGGCAGATGAGTGGAAGGGAAACATCATTTGTCATTGTAGCTTCAGAAGCGACAAGCTTTTGGGGGAGAAAAAAAAAACAGCGAAAGCTCGACTAAATGCCGTTGAAGGATCACCTTTGATGAATCGTCAGAGGTGACGGACAGATGTTGTCTGTTTCATCCCGTTCTGCAAATCCTTTTCTCGGTCTCCTGCAGTGTTGGCGGCTCCCTAAATAGAGCGAGAATGAGGGTGTGTGTCTGTGTGGAATGGGACCGCATAGGGTGATGGGTAATGGAGTCATTAATAACGCAGACCTCCCTCAAGAAGCTCAGATGTTCGTTAGCCAGATACACAAGGGAGCGGCGGGGAAATATAAAGCACTTTAATATCAGGAGAAAAAAAAAGTTTTTTTCTTTTTTTTTTTAAATGATTGCGTTCATGCTGTCATAGGTCTTGTCTGATAGGTTAATTGCAAGTACACGTATTTATAGACGATGTACATGGCGAGCAACCTTGAGGGGCCCCAAACTGTCAAAAATAATGTTCAAATAGGAAACCATTTGTGTCCCTATCACTAATGTCTCCCAAGGGACAAATTATTGGACACCGGTGGAAGTTTGTGCACCTTTTCCAGGGCACAAAAGACATACCTATGTGTTCAAGGATTTTTATGCCACATCTAATGAGAAGTAATACAAAAGCTGCATCAAACATTCTGTTTTTATGACAGATAATAATGCTCAGGCGTTATTAATTTAACAAAAATGTTGATTATTGTGGCTTCCACTGGGGTAGAACAGCAATGCATCGTACCGTGAGCTTTTATTTATTTAGCTTGAGTGCGATTTTATAGCACAAAATAACAGCGGCGGGTAGTCAGTGAGAGTATTTCAGTGACCTAATCCACATAAACGCTGTATAGCTATGCGTGGCATTCAAGAAGAGACAGAGGCAATTCACCTATTTGTGGATGACCTTCAACTTCCATTACATCACCAATATTAAAACTTAAATAAAATATGTCTTACTCACCAGATTTGCGGATGCAGTTGCAGAAGGCTTTCTTTCTTTGCTCCTGCTCAACTGTGTAAGCTAGCTTTAGCGTTCATACATACTGCTCTGACAGTGGTCCGTACTTTAATTTCTGTGTTGAATCAAGCCAGCTAGCGGCGGTGTGGGTTGACCGGGCCTCATGAAATCCAGTTTTTCTTGAAAAATGCCACTTAAAAAAAACCATTTTTTTTTGCACATCTTAATATCGACCAACCAGAGAGATAAACGTGGCCAAGCCAACCAGAGGACGGAAACTGCAGACGTCATTAATGCTGCATTCGAAGAAAGTGGGAAATCAGACTTTTTCGATTTATACCAGTGGTGTCAAATATACGGCCCGCGGGCCAGAAACACCCCCGAGGAGGTTCGATCAGGCCTGCAGAATAATTTAAAAATGAAAAAAAATGCATAAAAGTCACGGAATGAATATTTTAATAAAATGCAATTTATATATTATCCGCTAGGGGGCACACTGTTTTCTTTTTAGTTTGTAAAGTGTAGGCAGGGATTACATTTTGATTTTATATGCACATGTGTAAATGGTTTAAAAAAATCCTTTCTTTATAAATCTCATTTAATCTTAAAATGCATGACTATATTTTTCATACCAATTACTTTGTACAATCACTGGGATCAGTTGCGATACATACATGTGAATGATAAAAGTAAATTGCACATTTGTCTAAGAAAATCAAAGGTGCTTCATGAAATGTTTTGTAAAAGATATGTTCATTAAATTTCAACATTTTCTGAATGTTCTTGTGCTTCACTATGCCAAAACAAAGGAAAGACATGATATTTTGGTTATTTATAGCAGAGTGTGGTATAATTTTAATGGTCGTGCCCACTTGACTTCTACCGAGGCCGTATGCGGCCCACAATGTGAAATGAGTTTGACACCCCTGATTTATACTGTCCCAGTTCTGACCTCAAAGTGCTACAGGCGAACGTAAACAACAAAGATTCATGGCCGGTTCCAATCAATTGTTTGCTCCAGCAAACCTTCATTCGTAATTTTCTTTATTTTTTTAGGAATAAGTAATACCCTCAAAACATTTGAAACATTCCACTGAATAACTTTATGCTGGGACAAAACAGCACATCTTCACACAGTCAGAACAAATACCATTGTTAATTATTTCAAACAACCAAATTAATGTCATCATAAGTAAAGATGACAAATAGATCTTTCTGATCTGAAACGATGTTTTTGCCATTCACGCTGTGTGTGCGCAAGGGGGTCGCAATCCTTGAATGACGTCAATAAGAAGCCGGTCGGTGAAGATGTCACCCGCCACCCCCAGACCCTTGGTTCTGAAATCTGAGTTGTTACTTTAAAAGTGTGTGTGTGTGTGTGTGTGTGTGTGTGTGTGTGTGTGTTTATGTGGTCAAAGTCAGCCCTGGGTATTGATATATATATAAAATAACACCTCAGTGCTGTATTTCAATTAACTATGCTAATAAACAAAAAACCAATGCATTTTCCTCATACTTTTTAATATTTCCATCACATGTGCAACACAAAAAAAATGAGCTCTGCTGAAATACAGAGCTCCATATTTGTACAATACTTTTGAGTAACATTGGCAATAACTGTCCTCTTGCTGCGGGGGGATTTAGCTGGAGATTTCCTGTAAACGGCGTACGAACGATTCTTGAGTCAAAATGTCAAAACATTAAAGTTTCATATAAAAGTGCATCTCAGTTCAATGAATGCAAAACATCTACACAACCGAATGTTGTTGTTGTTGTTGTCGTTTTTTAAAGTGTGTTGCCACGGCGGCTTCCAGCTGGAGCGGAGGGCAATGAAACACTGCAAAGAAGACAGTGGGGGGGGGGGGACGATGTTGGCCACTCTCCAGGAGGGCCAGGGTCGAAGTAGAGTACATCCCCAATACAGGATGAAACTATTTTTCTTGTCATAAGCACAGAATTTCAATTGATTCTTGCTCCCTAGGTGAACAAAAAAGTTGAGATAAGAAAACATTAAAAAAAAAAAATTCCAGTCATCTCCAGGCTTCAATGAGCAGTAAACATCAAGAATAAAAATGTACAGGTTGAGTCAGCGGGCTGGAGACTTCCCCATGCTCTTGGAGCCACGTGGGAATTTTTTTCACGCTTCTGTTCAGCAGTCCACCACGGCCGAGAGGACTTCACCTTCCCCAAATGTGAGTCTCTGCATTTGCATATGTCAGGATAATGTCCCGCTTTGTTTCTTAAGAAGACGCTGTCTTCTCCTCATCCTCATGACTGACGCGGGATGCGGAGCGACATTTCGCTGAACCCTTTTCTCCTTTTTGAAGCCCAATTGAAGCTGATTGACATACTTTTTCTTTCTTTTTTTTTTTTTTTTTTTTTACAGACAAACATGTTAAACTGTACATTGGCAAATACTGTATAAGATTGCAAGATAGTTGTAGTTAAGCAACACATGAAGAAGTCTATGTACAAGCACAAGTAAACAATGGGCAATGTCATTTCGTGGCCCTCCCCATAAAGTCCCCGCTCATATTTTCTCACTTTTCATTTTTTATTCTCTCTCTTCCCCGCAGTGGCGTCGCTTCCTCGTCACGCAGCTGAATTCTTTAAGCGAGACAACGAGCGGGACGGTGCACTGGCCATAATTGGCGCTCGGGCTGTATTCTCCGCGTCACGTTCCCCATTTGGTCGTCGGCGGTGCTCGGCAGGGCCGGGTTAGCTGGTGTGCTGAGTCAACGTGTGGTTCTGCAAGGACACACAAGGAAACATGTTTAATGGTGACTGCTGTTTCTCTGCACTATTAAACAGGGCTGCGTACATATCAACAGTCAGGCTAAATGTGACCATTTTCCCTCCCTTAGGAGTCACTTTGCATTCGTTTATCGCATTTGGTGTTATATTTTAGCGCTGGGCAAATTTTGTTGAACGTTTTTGATTTTTAAATACACCATGTTTTATTGTCTTTAGTTTGATGTGTTTTACAGTCAACTTTAACTTGGACGGACAAACAGCTTGAAGCAAACCCGCTTTGCCTCTGGAAAAATTGCGTGATCCAGTCTTCTTTTCACTTTCTCAAAGGGATATTATAACGTCGCCGTCGTGAAAAAACACATATGCCCATTTTTGCCATTATTACATTAATGGGGTGTTCGCGTTTCGCACTTCCCATTAACCTATAAAATTATCTGGCATGTTAAAAGGGATTCACTGTTATTTCATACTGGAGAAACATTTCGAGAAGATGAACAAATTTGAGGTCTAGAAGCCTCTGAAATCAGATTAGATTGGCGCTTTTGGGATGAGGATCATTTTTGTAGTCAGCGAGTCCTCCCTCAATTGTCTCCAGTTGGTCCAAAATGCTGTTGCTCGCCTCCTAACTGGAGCTCGTAAGAGGGAGCATATAACCCTTATTCTGGCTTCCCTTAACTGGCTAACAGTTTATTTTAAGATTATTTCATTTACCTTTAACTCATGGTCTTGCTCCTCCTCGCTGGTCCTTCCATCTGGAATGACCTTCTGTTTAAAGTTAGGCAAGCCCTTCTCTGTGCATTTTTAAAACTTCTTAGAAGACACGTCTTCATTCTTTAGCTTTCGACCCAGCAAGAGAATAACACTGTGTTTGTATTTTAATTGACTGTTTTCACTTTTTTTATTATTGTTATTTTGTGTTATTTGTAAAGTGCTTCGTTAGAGAAGCGAGCGGCTGTTTTGAAATGCGCCATATAACATTGTCTTGTATTGTGTTTTAATTTCAGTGCTGACCTCAATAAAGCTAATTTCACTTTTCATCGTCATGCCACTGATAATCTCGTATGTACCCTGTCGTCCCCACCGAGCCTGCAAACTAACAAACAACAGCCGTGCATAGACATAAACGCAACACAAATATGGCACTCTTTTTGTCCACATCGCAGTCTACAGCGACATGCCATGCTTCGATTACCTTGACATTTCAACATCATCACCATCAAGCTTTCATTATCCCCATTCCAATTAACTTGCCTGAGTCAGACATGCGCGCTCGCAAATCGATACCCTCTGGATGCCGAGATTAAGCTTGCTAAAACCCGCTTCGGACACCAAAGCACAACAGCTCTGACAGATAACCCCCCACATCACGACCACCACTCCCCCCCGCCCCCCTCATGCTGAAAAATATTACATCCCAATCAAAGGCTGTGGCCATGGAAACAAATCCATAACGAGGCACTGGCACAACGGACGGAATACTGGCCTTTGAGTCTTGTTTATTTAACCTGGGCTGCTATCGAATCAATGTCTGCAATTACGAAAAAAAACAACCGCCCCCCCCCCAAAAAAAAAAAACACGGGACTACCAAAGTTAACTGCAGCTTTTTTGTACATATGTAATGCTGCAAAAGGTTGACTTTGTTTTTGTTGTTTCATCCACAATCATTAAAATACACACACACACACACACACACACACACACACACACACACACACACACAAACACACACACACACACTGCAGATCATTGTAGAGTGGCTGTAGTGGGGCAGCTGTGCCAGGTTCTTTAAAGGGAGCCTGGACCAGGGGGTGTGTAACTGGTGTCCCTGGTGGGCAAAATCCAGGTCATCTTTTGAAGTGACTGCTAATCCCTTTAATGCAAACTACATGCCCCACTTGCTGCGCTCACTTTAAAACACGGCCTTGGACTCGTGTAGACTGGCATGGACTTAGACACACCTGTCACACACACACACACACACACACACACACACACACACACACACACACACACACACACACACACACACACACACACACACACACCGTCACAGTCAATGCAAGCAGACTAGTGGGTTCATCATTATTGTACACAAGTATTCACACTCACCGGCCACTTTATTAGGGATGCCTATATAACGTTATGAAACAAAGATAACGATCATAAGTTTTGATTCATTATGCAGTGCGGTAATGCATTGCATGATACTGACAAATGTTTGTAATATTTGGTTGCCTGATAAAAGTCTTTCAATTTATGACCCTAAATAGGTTACGGGCCAGCTTTTGATCATTAACTTACACGTGCATGTCAATGTTAATTGTCGGACTTGTGGCGAATATGTTGAAATGCAACCCCAATAATAGGTTTAGAAACAGTACTAAAACCATACTCATAGTAGAGTTACATGACTATTGTCTTTTTTTTTTTTTTTTTTAGTAGTAAACAAAATGAGAAATGAATACATTTTTTTGACATTGTCCACCAAAATGGAGTATTCCTATCATTGTAAAGACACCATTAAAAAAAAAAAAATTTGAGTTCTTGTCCAGGATGCCGTTGCGCATCCTGTACAGTGTAAGTGTACAGTGTAAGCGTACCTAATAAAGTGAGCTACAGTGACTTGTTGGAATAATGCAGCCAATACCAACAAAATAGTACTGTACCGCTATTATTACGAACAATAACAACCAATGACAGGACCTTGGCACCCTCATTTTCATGGTGAAGCCTCACAAAGATCAAACTTTGATGCCATGTGTCCCCCACTCATATAAGATGGCAAAAGTAAAGAAAAAAAAACACGTTGCAAATTAGCATCACCCATCTGTCGAGTATTCATATCAGTCCTAGAATTTTCCCAGAATGGCCAACTTCCTGTTTAATTTTACCCGTGGCTTCTGAGGCAGGTCCACCCAATTTCATTTTGATTCGTGAAACTTGATTTTGGTGATATTTTTCTCGGTGAGTGAGTTTTGTGCGCGTGTGTGTGTGTGTGTGTGTGTGTGTGTGTGTGTGTGTGTGTGTGTGTGTGTGTGGGCGCGCGCGCGTGCTTCTTGCACAAATGTCTGAGTTTTTGAGCATGTTGAGGGCACCAAAAAATGTGATTCGGAATGACGATGCTGGCTGGTGCTCGCGGGCTAATCATGGTTTCTAATTGTATTTCAGAGCAAGAAAAAGGTGTGACTATTTTGGAGGTGGTATTGTGAATCACTCCCCTTCCACGCTGTCATTGCACAACCCTTTTGGGCATCACCAGTGAGCGACTATTAACCCCCGTTGCAATGCTTTCCCTCCCTCTTTAGCCTTCCGTCTACCTCCAGATGAAGCGTTTAAACACCTCCACGGCTTTCCCTTCAGTTGCGGCGATTACCCCCCGACAGGTGGGGTAATAAGCACTTTGACGGAGGGAGCAGGGAGAGTGACCCCCCCCC